AGTGGGGCAAAAAAGTATTTAGTCAGCCACCAATTGTGCAAGTTCTCCCACTTAAAAAGATGAGAGAGGCCTGTAATTTTCATCATAGGTATACCTCTTTAAAAATCAGACAATGTGATTTTCTGGATTTTTTCCCCCATTTTGTCTCTTTTTGATATTGACCAAATACTTATTTTCCACCATGATTTGCAAATAAATTCTTTAAAAATCAGACAATGTGATTTTCTGGATTTTTTCCCCCATTTTGTCTCTTTTTGATATTGACCAAATACTTATTTTCCACCATGATTTGCAAATAAATTCTTTAAAAATCAGACAATGTGATTTTCTGGATTTTTTCCCCCATTTTGTCTCTTTTTGATATTGACCAAATACTTATTTTCCACCATGATTTGCAAATAAATTCTTTAAAAATCAGACAATGTGATTTTCTGGATTTTTTCCCCCATTTTGTCTCTTTTTGATATTGACCAAATACTTATTTTCCACCATGATTTGCAAATAAATTCTTTAAAAATCAGACAATGTGATTTTCTGGATTTTTTCCCCCATTTTGTCTCTTTTTGATATTGACCAAATACTTATTTTCCACCATGATTTGCAAATAAATTCTTTAAAAATCAGACAATGTGATTTTCTGGATTTTTTCCCCCATTTTGTCTCTTTTTGATATTGACCAAATACTTATTTTCCACCATGATTTGCAAATAAATTCTTTAAAAATCAGACAATGTGATTTTCTGGATTTTTTCCCCCATTTTGTCTCTTTTTGATATTGACCAAATACTTATTTTCCACCATGATTTGCAAATAAATTCTTTAAAAATCAGACAATGTGATTTTCTGGATTTTTTCCCCCATTTTGTCTCTCATAGTTGAGGTATACCTATGATGAAAATTACAGGCCTCTCTCATCTTTTTAAGTGGGAGAACTTGCACAATTGGTGGCTGACTAAATACTTTTTTGCCCCACTGTACCTATAAAGGAGCCAGTTTGGTGTAGTGGTTAAGACACCAGGCTAGAAACTGGGAGACCATGAATTCTAGTCCCGTCTTAGGCACAAAGCCAGCTGGGTGACCTTGGGCCAGTCCCTCTCTTTCAGCCCTAGGAAGCAGGCAATGGCAAACCACTTCCAAAAAACCTTGCCAAGAAAACTGCAGGGACTTGTCTGGGTAGTTGCCAGGAGCCAAGACTGACTTGAAGGCACCCCCCCACACACCACCAAACTGTACCTATAAACTTATGGAATGATGCAACTCAGGCTTTTTCATGTTTCTTGATGGTACCAATTCAACCCAATTTTTATTATATTTTCTATAATGTTTTTAAGAACGAGATTCAACAGTATAGATTGTTCTGCTGGTAAGCCAGCTTTCTCCCTCTAAATGAATGGGTGACTATACCAATGGCAGCCATCACCAGTAGGTTGAAAAAAAATGCAGTACATGTCTTGTCTGACTTGAAATTACAGCAACTGACCACTCTCATTACTTCTAGCAGGACAAAATATTCAGTAAAAAGAATGCAATGTTTGTTCTGATCCAAGTTTTTTTTTAACATTGAGATTGAAAGCACTTGTTAATTTTTATAGGTAGCGTGTGCATCATCAACTGTGTCATTGGCCTAATATTTACTACGAAGGCTGGAAACTACTGGTTTAATATCTTCAATGATTATGCAGCTACTCTCTCCTTGCTGCTTATTGTTCTGGTAGAAACTATTGCTGTCTGTTACATATATGGCCTAAAAAGGTAAGAAGTCAAGAATGATGCTTCTTTCTTACCACGTATCATTGCCATAATGATTTGCACAATTTACTGTCTTGCATTTATATACCAGTTTCTTCAAGATGCCAAAGGCTTTTAAAAAGCATTTTAGGATAGCATTCTAACATTATGCTTCATAGCAGCTGCTTTTTAATTAGAAAGATAGATGCCAACATTAGTGCTTATTTATGTGTATGTATGCTTTCTTTGATAGATTTAGTAAAGACCTTTGCATGATGATTGGACATGAACCAAGTTGGTACTGGAAAATTTTGTGGGCTTTTATCAGCCCTATATTAATTGTAAGCCTGTTTATATTTTACATCACGGACTACATCAGGACAGGGATATTCCAGTATCAAGCCTGGGATGCAACAGAGGTATTTTACTCGTTTTTTTCTATTAGTAGCTGAAACTCAGCGGTTGGATAGGAATTTACATCTAATAATTGCAAAACTCATATGCTGCATTCAGGAATATTTAATTGTATAGTAATTTTAAAAGATGCATTTTACCATATAATGAATCATACGTGAACAATGGCAGTTACTTGATGCTAGAATGTGCTAAGTATATGTATTAATTATCTAAATTCTTGTACATATAAACTTCAGAAATTTCAGTGATTCTGTTTGATTGCACAACTGAAAGACAGCACCAAAGATGTGTTATAATTTACATATTGGAAAGGAGAATTAGATTTAGTAAATTCAAAGAAGCCGTTTGGCAAATAGAAAATGTGCATTATTTTTTGGAATCAATTAAGATTTAGACTTAAGATTTGCAGGCTTACCATGCATCATATATATTCAGATTCAAGGATTCCAAAAGTTGCACCTTCATATTTAAGTTTTTGGTTTATCCAGTTTTATGAAAATAGCATTATGAGAAACATTGTTCTTAAGGTTGTGTGATTTGATGATGTGTATAGAAGTGTAATTTAAGTTTTAATCGAAACTATGGGAAGACAGCTATGAATGCAGTCTATAAAACACAAAGTGTAAAAGTCCATAAAACACATAGAAAGTGTAAAACACCCTTTCCCAGCATGATGCTTTTCAAATATTATAGGATTCCAACTTTCAAATTTCCTGGCCAGTATAGCCAAGTATTATATTGGCTGGGGAATTCCAGGAGTTGCAGTCTGACATACGTGGACGCCAGATTGGTAAACTGGTGAAAACTAAATATCTGCCTCTTGAATCTGCAACAGTTCTATGCAACTTGCATCTATAATTACTGTTACTGAAATTTGAAGCATGAAACATTATCACAATGAAAGGAATGCAGGTTGAAAAAAATGTGATATTTAGTAATATTCTACAATCAACCCCAAGATTAGTAAAATAGCAGCGTATCTTTCCTTGGCATCAGTAGGGGCATAATTTCATACTTTGGCAATATCTTTTGCAGGGGCACCTAGTTACAAAAGATTATCCAAGAGGTGGCTTAGCAGTTATTGGTCTGCTTGTGGCAACAACAACATCATGCATACCATTAGGAGCATTAGTAACTTTTATAAAGCTCAGAAGAAATCGTCAATAACTGGACTTTATCAACAGCTGCAGCTTTCACATCCCAGCTTGAAGATTACCCCAGCTATAGCTTGCAGCAACCAACAAGCAAAGCAAATCCTGATTACCAAAATATTCATGCCAAAATATTCTCTTGTCCATTCTCCATCAAGAAAATGGTTTTGCAACAGAAGACAACTGACAATTGCTTTTGAAAGATATAGACAAGATGGTAGCTTGCAAGCATTGGCTCTGTGACTGCACAAGGAGTGCACATTATATTTATACAAAGGAAATCACCTAGTCTGGCATATGTGAATATGAGCTCTGGTTGTATAATGTCCACTAAGTCATGCGGTACAAGAAACTGCAATGTGTACAACTGATTTTTCTATATGGAACGCATAGTTTGACTATGCAACTTATTTGCATTGTTATTTGCAAGTTATCTGTATGGGCAAAGCTTTGTCACATTTTTTTAGCTACCCACAGGAGCTGTAGCAATCTACTGAATTTCCATAATTCTCTAAAGGTATTATACAAACAAGGGGAATTGGGCTGGGAAATTTTAACTAAGGGCTACACTGGAATTATCATGAACTAGGAAACTAAAGATATGCTGATTTTAGTTGCATCATGAATGTGATATACATGTTTAAATACCACACACTGCACTTATTGTGAAATATTTTTTTAACATTACTATCAAATAGCAGAAACCTAAGTCAGAAAATCCTGTGAGGAAAACCATAACTAAACTTTTTTTTTACTTGCCTCTTTTCTAGACTATTATCATGTGCTGCCAATGTTGTAATCTCAGAAATAATGAAAGTTAATATATATGCATATTTATTTAAAGAACAAGAACTAGTGTTCTTAGGTTTACTGTTTTTCAGACAAAGGCACTACAGTCAAGTATTTTTGTTTCCCTATGCCACTCTCCAAAATAATTTCAAATTACAGATTATCGTTTACTGACTGCCTTGTTCAGTGACTGTTTGAAGTTACAACAGTGCTGAAAAAAATAACTTCATGACCAATGCCCACATTTACAACCTTCGCAGTGTTCCTCCAGTCACGTGATCACCATTAGTCAGTATGCATTGTCCTGTGCCTGACCTGTTTCCCCCCCGCCTTGCAGAGCGAAGAGATTGGAGAGGAAGGGATTACAAGAGAGTAAGCAGGCACACAACGGGGAATACACATTGAAAGCAATGCGCTGGTGCCAGCAACTGTCAACATGCTTTGCAAAGAGCCCAGTGTATTTCCCATTGCGTGCCTGCTTACTCTCTTGTAATCCCTTCCTCTGCAGAGAATGTAAACACAAACATTAATTCCCTTCTTGCTAATTATCCCAGTGCTGAGGTGAGCATTCCAAAGGGTGGGAGAGTAAGGAAAAGGAAAGCACAGTTGCAATCACATGATTTCCCATTTAGCGACCACTTTGCTTAATGACAGAGCTGCTGGTCCCAATTGTTATTGCTAAACAAGGGCCACCTGTGTAATTTCCCCCCATAAACTGAAATACTCACAAACCATGTAAGACCCTTCCAGTTTCAATAGATGATATTGCAAGAAAAGATAGACTGCAAATTCCACAATAATGGGGAATTTCTACTTAAGTCAACTTAATTTCCAAGCTTTGGCTGGCAATGTTAAAGATAACACATGAGTAATCAGTGTTTTCATGTAATGTATGAATACATATAGAACTTGAACTTAGTTGACACATTTTCCACATTTGTTTATTAAAAATTGACACAAAACAAAACCTGTACAAAAAAATACCAGTTGTCTGAGGCTTTTTTTATAGCAGTTATAAAGAAGTTATCGTCTTGGACCACCTCTTCCTCTTCCACGTCCTCTTCCTCTTCCACGTCCTCTTCCACGTCCTCTTCCTGCAACTGAACCGAAAAAGAGAAAACTTTATTTTAAAAATGCAATCATACCATAGTACTTTTTAATGTAAAACATTTGTTTATGTTTTCACATTTAAACTTGCTATACAACTTGTTATAGGTAGCTCAAGTGAAAAAATGTATAAGACCTCATCTCTTACAAATGTGTTAAACTATTCTCTTTTCTTAGAGTGATCTAATCAGTTCATGTTTCTGTATTTCCAAATACTAGATATATTTTTGTGAAATATGAACTTTTAGGAAATAATAGTTTAAAATGTGTAACTTGACAGTGGTATTCTAAAAACATTCTAAAAATAAATATTTTTAGAAAGAAGTTTGGGCTCGGAGTGATACAGATAGTTCCCGGGTTAAGAACACCCAGTTTACAGAAGACCTATAGTTAAGAACAGAGCTTACTGTAGCAAAATTCGAGTTAAATACACAATGATTTGAGTTAAATACATAATGGTTTAAGTTAATTACACAATACTACAGGTAGTCCTCACTTAACAACCATGATAGGGACAGGAAAACTGGTCAT